ATATTGAAGCGATCCATCTTTTTATTATTTCCACAGACTAATTATCGAGCAACTGCCCGTCCAGAAGAACGAATCGACCTGCTTGAAGTTCTCGCGACCTGTGCTTTCAAGCCGATGAATTTCATCCTGCTATTCTTCTACCAGTTCCTGATTGAGCATGGCCCAGAAGAAAATCGCGGCCTAGTGGACCAGGATCTCATATTTTATATTGAAGTTCTGCGATATCAGGTGGGCTGATCGGGTATCTGAGAGCTGACTTTTTGTATGGGATGCTGAGAACCATTTATTTTTCAGCTGTATAGCCCCCTCCAAACTCTTGATCGAGTAGCTTTAATAATAGGTGCCAAAATTTTAGATAAGCAATTTAACCCTCATGATGAATAACCTGAATAATTATAGAGAAATTGTATCTACTAGCTTAATCGAGTATAGAAAATACCTCACGAAGCTATAACCTCTTACGCATGTCTAAAACGTAGATGAGTTCATAGCATTGAGGTTAAAATTAGGCCACCTTAAGTAGGCTTCTCATTTAAAACAATTATCTAATGTATACAAATAGTAATCCGTCAAATAAAAATAAATGTGTCCATTTGTAAAGCATTAGTTCTGGACATTCTGAAAAGTTATATATCAAATCTTCAAGCAAGGGACTATGTACCAAAAGATTCTTTAGGGAGACTCTTGGTATCAGGCTCAATATTTCTTTTAATGGACGAAGATGCCTGAATGTGTTTGTTTGGTCATTAGCCTCAGATAATTCATGAGGTTGATTTACGAAAAATAATTAATTGATTTATCTAATCAGTTTTATTGTAGGCGAGAGGATACCTCTAAAAAAAATATAGACTACACTACCCTGCGCATTATATTTACGAGTAAATCAAGGAATTCTTATGAATAAGTAATTGGCCTTGTAGTATCGTGGGCAGCGAATTATCCACGGAGGGTGATATGATGGATTGATTTTGCCTCTCTCTATCTCAAAGAAATGCTCCCATCCAATCAAGCCATTTCTTTACTTCATCATTTTTGTACCACCAATTTGTGCTTAAAATACCAATTGACCATTTGTGTACCTCTTATATTCTCATATGTTCATTGATAGTTTTAATTTCAAATAATCTTCATCCGATAATAATGGTATCAACTTGAATGACACATACATTCACATCACCGATTTATACTTCAAAACAAATATAAATTTTAATAGGCATGTCATGCTCTGCGGTCCATTATGTTCTGGCTGTTTGTGCCCATGCGTCTGTGTTTAACCACTGGACAAACATCTGGATCAGCTTGCTGGTGGAGCCTACTACAACTTATAATATCTGCGTTATGAGATCGTGTTTCGGAAGTGCAAGTTACATTAAATCTTATATTTCCTCATTCCCACTTTAAGTCATCAATGAAATTTTTCTGACAGCAAGCGGTATAGCTTCAATTTTAACGAGCCTAAGTGATATATTTGAAATACTTCTTGTTGGAATACTCCTCTCAGATCAGAATTTGGACCATTGATATAAATTCACTTTGGCTGCTTTTTAAAACTCATTCTTTTACCATAGTGCCTGTGGAATGTGCAATTAACACTATATTCGTCCATATATTCCTTTCAGGAGATGTGTCGAGGCAAAGCGAATCAAGACGTTCTCAGAAAAAAGGCGCATTGTGTTTCTTCTGCTTTCTTGGATTCTGTGGTTCTCCCCTCAGTTCAGGTAAATTTATTGATATGAATAATTTATTTGGCAGCCACATATTCACGGCCACAAAATAGTAGACTTAACTCTAGTCACCAGAATTTGTTCGTCCTTAAAGCAGAATCACATTTGTGATGTAATATTTGGACACAATCGTTTCCTTGTCTTCCATTCTATTGGATCAGCACTTTTAACGTTGATGACAGTATTGGCTTACTGAATCTCTGATGAGTCCTTGGATAATGTTCATGCCCTGTACACTCCTGCAAATATTCGTGATCATGAATTTAAACCGCCTAATCAGTGCTGTATTAGTAGTTATTATTCAAGAGTATCCGAGGTCTGTAGGTTGGACTGGCTCGTCGTTTGAAGTTTGCAATGTAGCTTATCATGCTTCTATTCATTTACATTATATACTGTATCTACATTCGATAGTGGCACAGATTTTATTATAATTAATTTTAATTTTGTCTGGACAAAGTAGTGCGCTAATGCTCATCAAGCTCGTGATGACCTTCGGGTATATCTACACGGCTGCCCAAGTAAAGTGGGCAATAATTTTGCTGTGGAAATATTTAATGTTCATTTGTCTGGCAGTCTTAATGAAAATTGAGTAAAATACTAATAATCAAGCTAGATGAATTTTTTAAACTCCGGCAGATTTTGAAATTTATGATTCTTTTTTTACAGACCCATTTTAGACACATTGCTTTGCCCTCCCCAGCTATCCCTACAGGAAAAAGCTTGATTTCCGCGGGCACTAACATTTTAGGCTATTTCAGGCTAATAGGTTAAACTGAAGCGTAAATATGTAGACCAAGATGTTTTACCCTCCATTTTGGTAGTATTCTCCTTTCGATGTATGGAATAGGAATGTACCAAGTCCACGGCCCGACACTGGGAATTATGATAGCTACTATAGCAAAGGAATTCAGACAAACTGCGCCAAACTAAGTTGCCCTGACAACACGACCAAGTTGCAAAAACGAGGCCAGACTAATTCTAAAGTGAAATGATTCTTTTTTTT